TTTTTTTGGAGAGATTTTCACTGTAGGGCGCGTGCGCTCGCCAGACAGACGGAGAGAGACATAGAGACAGAAAGCGAGAAATCACCCCCCAGGGGGATGGTCACGCTGCAATCCCTTCTCCTCCATTCTCCTCTCGGGATCTTGGGCACACACGCACACGCGCCCGGCGTGAATTTTAAGCCACCGGGTCCGGGACACGAACCGCGGTCGACTACGTGGGAGTCCAGCGACATAGCCATTACGCTAATTGCTGGTTCCCAGAAAAATTGTTTTTGAAAGAAGTTTCTAGATGATACTGGTATTGCTGGTCCAGGAACCTCAATGAGAACCACTGACCTAAAGTATAGTTTTCATTTTATTCTGTTCCCTCTCCTCATAGGTATTTATTATTATTAAATAAGACTTGCCTATAATTGAAATATTTATAAGTTTTAAGGCTTTTATGAAAAAATTAAATATAGATAGGCAGTTATAGTATATAGTTCTGATAAATAGTTTATTATATCTATTGCAAATAAAATGAGACAGTTTGTGACCCAGTGCCACACATACGTGAAACACACCGTAAGTGCTACTTTCCTTTCTTTAGCTATTCATCGACTTGTTTTCTGTTAATTATCTCCTGATGTGGGCATTCTGCCAAGGGTTCACAGACAAATCTAGAATCTCTACCTAGTTTAATTCAAGTTTTATTATACACAGGCTAAGTTCTCGATAAGCTCCTCTCCAAATCCATAGTTCCTGCACTTTCACACTCCATTGACTCAAGGAAGATACAGATTTCTGTGATCAAAGAGGTTTTTGTCTGTGTCTCTATTGTTAACCCTGTTATACAATAATTTTACTGTTTAAAGATTCTTTTCCCTCATTGATTTGTGAGTTCCTTTAAGGGCTATCTAATCTCTACACTCAGTGAACACATGAACAAGACTAGATAGAGGTAGGTGTCCCTCGGTTGTTTGCACAATGACAGTCTCTTTAGGTTCCTATTCCAAAGTTACTAGTGAACTAATCTTTTCTGTTGTGAACGTCAAGCAAAGGGCAGGGTGAAGTATTCTAAGCCAATATAAATACCACAGCCCTGCAAGGCATATGTTAAGTAGCCATTTATCTTTGAGGATACCAAACAATCCCAAAGTACCACAAAATAGGCTAAGAAAAGGTGCTGTGGAAATTTGGAGGTGGAACAGATTATTTTTCCTTGGAGAACAAGGGAGGAGGATGTCAGGGTGTTATTCTTAAGACACGATATCTGAACCCGATTTAGGATGCAGAACTAGGGTGAAAAGTTCTATCCTGGTTAAATTCCCTTTTAAAGAGAAACACAGACATACACAGATGTACATAATCACATGAATTACTTTATCCTTCCAAGTTCTAAGTCTTTTGAGGCATATGTTTTTTGTTTCCACGAGAGATAAGTGAATATACAGAATCTGCCTGATTTATCTGAATACGAACACCTCTCCAAGTTAAGGATTTGTTTGCTCTGGATCACGTTTCTGTTTTAAAACCAACTGAGGCAGCAGGATAAAAACAACCTTAACTCAAAGTATCAACTGTTTCTTTAGCAGTAAATATACTACTGTGCTGCTGATGTGAAAGATCAAAAAACAAAATCGTTTCATCATTCCTTTTAAACTGAATATGCTTAAGATAATGCTTCCCATGGTTAAGAAACATCTGTAATATTTTCAGTTCTTGGCATCATTCGCTTCCCCATATCCTGTTTCTCCTTCCCCATAAACTCATGTTTAGTCTCTAGGCAAACTTTAGACTAATGCTCCTTAGGCCTTTGGACTAATTTTCCTGTATTGTACTTCAAGCCACTCCTGTTTTATACAACATTTCACTCAATTCTTCTTTAATAAAAAAGGGATTCATCCACTTGAATGAATTATAGAAGATTCAAATATATAAACTACAAAGAAATCTAGAAAATTATAATTATCTGATTGTATTTCACATATAAATGGTAACCAAATTTACCAGTAGCTATGATCCAGTGATGCCATCTACTGTTTCAAATGTGAAACTACACAGTTCAAATTAAATGGGACAACGTGTTCGGTGACAGCAGAGCGAATCAACATGGAATTTACACTAATTCCAATTTATTAACATAGTTAGAAAACCAATAAAGAGAACCTTATAGTCCACAAAAGAGATCAGTATCTTTCTTGGCTTTCAAAAGACAAATAATTGAATCCTTTGTTATGAGGGTAAATGGAAATCCAGACTTCCACACCTGTTCTTTTTCCCAGCTTTATTTGGTTGCAGTTTCTGATGCCTTTCCCTTGTAGAATCAGTACTCTTTTGTTCCAGTTAAATCCTCAACACGGTATATAATACAGTATATTTGTCTCAGACTCCAGCAAGAGCAGAGTTTGAAAGAATTCTCACTACTTTAAACCTCTCAACTGTGATGACGCCTGGGAATGGGTTCCTGCTTTCACAATCAGTAATAGATGGCCTATCTTTGGGTATGACACACTGACCTGGTGACTGCCTCTAGAAAGGCCACCTTGGGGCAGGCAGGTGACCTGGTAGTTAAAAACACTGGACTCACACATGGCAGACTGTGGTTCGAGTCCCGGACCTATCGGTTTGCTGTCTCACTTTCTCTCTCACTCTGTTCCTCTCTGAATTAAATTAAATTTAAATAAATAAATAAATAAAATAAAATAAAGTTAAATAATTCTTTACCCAAAAAAAGAGCTCTTACAATTCAATATTAAAAACAAACAAACACACAGAACTCCTCTACCAACCTGAAAGCTTTCCCAATACCTTGTCCTACATCAATCCTAGTTTCCCTAAACCATCTCACTGACTCATATTCTTACGGCTCCCACGGGCTTTGTACCCAACTTACCTAAGTTATAAGAATAAGCTTCTCTACTATACCATGCTATCACTACCCCTCTTGTCTGATATCTGAAACCATTTCTTTCTGCTTTTAAAACTATTTTGATTTTCATTCACAGAAACAAAGTAGAAGCATTAGGTCCAGGTTTCTTTTTTTTTTTTTTTTTGGGGAGATTTTCACTGGAGGGCGCGGGCGCCCGCC